AAATTTCACTTGTTTTATATAATATACAATTTGCTTGGGAATTTGTTCAGTCCACTGCTTTGTCATTCTCGTTGATGCAATTGATAGTATTTATATGCATTTCTGAAATACTATTTCATATACTAGATAACATTTGAGTTTTGTATTGAATACATCGTTATAATATAAGGAAAAAACATAGAATCTTCGACAGTAGTTATCCACAATAACTATATACCATATCATACGTAGTTATTTATCTTTTTCTTTCCATCAATCTCTTAATATAGACAAGACCAAACCAGACCAAGAAGTAATCTTCTTTGGACAGAAACAAATCCATATAAAACCCTTAAATGTTCACTTTGTACTTGGCTAAGAAAGACATGACCAAACCAGACAAAGTTGGTCTTTCGCGCAATATCCCTACTTATATAACTTGCAGAACATTGATGAAACGGAACACAGACAAAGTAAAATAAAAAAGGAGAATGAGAAAAGAAGTTTCTTGAATTACAAGAAACAAACTAGCCCTAATTATCCTGTCTCAAATCTCTCTCTCAGTCTACGTCTACAAACTAGAGAACTTTTGTTTCTCATCCCGCAATGCCTAACCAATCTGAATACGTTTCAAAAGCAAATGAACAAGTTTACAAGCTAGTAAACCGGTTTCACAAACCAAAACACTTCTACTCACTCAAATGAATAGCTAGAAACCAAAACGTTTGCTGGAGAAGCTGAGTGGATATACACGAATTCCATGCTTTGACCTGCCGATAACGATTGCATCCATGAGGGAAAACCGAATGAATTTCCAGTTTTCGCCACACCCCATATTGGACCATAGAGCTTGGTTATTGATATCTTCAAATTTTTCAAAGTTTTTGAAGATCTGTTAGTTAATCTTGTTGAGTATCGGTAATACATCTTTCCTTCGCGACTCCATGAGGCTGTCATCTTCTGCGATATGGTAACGAAACTAGAAGAAGAAGCTGCTAAAACAAAAACAAAAATCGAAGCAAATTGGTGAAATTCTTAGACTAATCAAATTGGTTTTCTAATTCTTAGACCAAATTCTTAGACAAACCAGGAGGTGTAGTCGGTTTCCTTTTTGGTACTGGTGCTGGTTTTTTGATAACCGGACTTGGAGTCGGACTTACACCTGAAATAGAAACCCGGTTAATAATGACCGATTAACCAAATTGACTAGAAAAGCTTTAATCAGACAATGTAATTCATTAAATCTTTACCAGGAAGCAGCTGGTCAAAACCGGTCGACCCGGAAATTAACCTGGCTAGTACACCAAGAAGAGGCGCGTTGTTGTAAGTCGCTGGTTCGGTTTGCTCGTAGTTGTCCCGTTGGTCGGCAAAGTTATCGTAAGCGTCTGGTCCACCAACTAGAGCTCCAGTCAAGACATTCGGATCACTTCCTTTTCGGCTGTACCAGGTGGCATAGCCACCTCGGCAAGTCACAGACTTTTGATCGACTTTAAAGGAGACAATCGACGAACCTCGGTGATGAACTTGCCTAGGATAGTTCTGTCCGTATCCAACCATATAGCTCGTACCTCTAGGGTTGTCTCCAAGAATGTAATCCACC